TTGTATGTGTTGTACGTGCGTGCGAGAGAGTGGGAGGGACGGGGAAAAACGGGTGAAATAGGAGAGAAGTACAGAGAGGGAGGGAGGGAGGGGGAATAAAGGGAGAGGAGAGAGGAGAGATAAAGGGGGGGGAGAGAGAGAGGGAGGGAGGAGAGAGGGAAGGAGAGAGAGAGGGAAGGAGAGAGAGAGAGAGAGAGAGAGAGAGAGAGAGAGAGAGAGAGAGAGAGAGAGAGAGAGAGAGAGAGAGAGAGAGAGAGAGAGAGAGAGAGAGAGAGAGAGAGAGGGAGGGAGAGGGAGAGAGAGAGAGGGAGAGGGGAGGGAGAGGAAGAGGGAGAGAGAGAGGAGAGAGAGAGAGAAGAGAGAGAGAGAGAGAGAGAGAGAAGAGAGAGAGAGAGAGAGAGAGAGAGAGAGAGAGAGAGAGAGAGAGAGAGAGAGAGAGAGAGGCTGCAATGAATGGGAAAAAAAAGCCTGAGGAGAGGGAAAAGAAAGAAAAAAAATATAACAAGAAGTAAACGATTAATGGGTGCATGCATTTCTTACATACTAGTAAACAAGATCAACATTCCTCGTTGGCAGAAGAAAGAAAAACAATGGTAGGCCTATCTTCATTAAAACATCTACCAGAAGGCGTGTTTCATCCGAGCGATATTTTGGAAACATGTGGTTTATTAACATTCGCAGCTACAGTTCAGGTAAACAGGCCAAAGCGAGACAAACACACTGCAAATAAGTAGCATTCAGTTGCTCTTGTACCTTTTGGCACGAGATAAGATTAGGTCCTGTTGCAGAGCTCTCAAACAGTCTCGGAAAGGTATTTTGATGAAAGCAGCGTAACCCCCCCCACCCCCCCCCGCAGGTACAATCGCTTCTCGCTGGAGACTTACTCTTGCACCATACTTTCATCTCCACGAAAGACATAAGCGTTTTTTTTTTTTTCTTATAATCCTGCTAACCTACTTTCCACAAAGGCCGCACAGACGTTCACAGTACAGCTGTCATTGAAAAAAACTCAACGATTTACCCATGCTAACTCAAAGCTGCGATTACACACCGAGTGCCCGTCAACTAGTCGTATCCTTCGAGTGTAAAATCTTTCCGGGGATAAGCATCGGATACGGGAGATCAAAGGAATTTCCAAAACGGTTTAGAAGCTGCGTGACCTCGATGGCAATGCGAGTGAGAATTAAGTACATTAGGGTTGTTGTCATGTAGTCCCGAGTCCATAACAACCCTCTTTCATTTGTATGGCTTATGTAATAATAATAAAAAAAAAAATAATACGAAGGGAAGAATATGAAGAGCTTTATTTTCCTCTGAAGGTGAAGCAAAAATGGCATATTTGCTGCTGCTTTGGACACGACAAGAGTAGAAGGAGTGAACAGTGTGTAGAATGTAGAAAGTAGTGAAACTGTAATCTTGTGTTTATATGGGTAAAGCAAAGAATAGCAATTTGTCTCTTTCCGCACTGAATAACTTTTGTTGCAAAATTTCCTTCATTCAAAACTGACGAACAAAAGATTCTCAACTTTGTTTTGCACACATAATGAAGAACAAAATAAAAGAGCAAACTGACACAGACTACTTTATTGAAAACTATACATTCCATGGCAACAGTTAAGGCAAAAATCCTTTCATGGTAGGAAATAATCTGAATCTGTCATCTTTTTCACGGCATACATCAATTCACGGTAAGAACTAATAAGAATCTGTAACCTTTTCGGCAAAAACGACTTGCAGCTTTTAAATCAAACTAATAATCTACTTAAATAACATCAACTAATGCCTTCTGCAAAGATATGAAATAAAAACGCCTCTGATATTTAAAAAAAAAGAAAGAAAAGAATCTTCTATCATCTAAAATCCAATATCCACTTACTATCTCTGACACGCAGTTGGCACCTCGTCCACACATACCCGTTAAATCACTCACATCTTCTCACCTCTCATTCCTCATGCCTCTTCTCTCACATCCTCTTCTAATCAGAATGCAAATCCTCTCTATACACGCACAGTTCCGTTTTTCTTAAACGTTGACTCCCGCTACCGCCCATCTCCGTCAGATACTACAGAACGCGTTAATAACAAATATATTCCAAATCAGCAGCTCCTTCTCTGTTTCCGTAACTCGTTTCTCTTCGTATTACACATCCGTTCAATCTCTTCAGAAAAAAGTATATCTACTTCATCCTACTCCACGTCACATCTTCTTCTTTTCTTTCTCTCTGTTAACTTCAATATCTTCCTACTCTCATATCTCTCGGCATGCGTTTTCTCCTACTTTCTCTCCTCACTATCTCTCGTTCTCTCTCTCCTCCTCTATCCTTACTCATACATCATCATGTAACTTTCACACTCTCGAAACTAATCAATTTAAGATCCGAAAACGTTCTCATTCTTTCATCATAATCGTTCTTCTCTCCACCTACATCCATCCCTCCATACTCTCTCCTCGCATATCACCTCCTCATCCCATAACCCACATACTTAGAAACTCCTCGTCTCCTCTCTTCTTTCTAATTACACCTCTCTCTTCTCCATCATATACTCTGCTTCCTCCCATATCCTCTCATACTCCAATCGTCACTCACTAATAATCTTCTCATCACTATTCATGTTCCCATTCTTCTTCTCCTCTCCGCTCCACATACTGTTCTTCTCTCTCTTCTCCTCTCCCTCCACTTCCTACCGTCATCTTTCCAAACTCTATTCAATACTCTCCAGAAATTTGAACGCACTACTCTGCCTAATCCTTCTCTCCATAACGTTTCTCTCCGCTACCTGTCAACTTCCTCTTACCATCAACTCTATATTCACAAAGTTCCTACCTCTCGCGCTGTGTCTGCATGTGAGTCACTCTCTGTTTCGTTCAGCGTTTTGTGGTTGTGGCGCCGCTCTCGTCCTCTTCACGTCGCAGTACTTCTTCAGCAACGGAGGCGCTACGTCTCTCTTTGGCTGAACTCTCCCTTTCTCTCCGTTCATACTCAGCATCTTTCCGCTCGCTCACTCGAATGACAGTCTAGCTCGGTCAATTGCAATTAAAAGAGAAAGAAAAGAAGAAATACTCCACTCTTCTCATCTCTCTTCACTCACAATGCTCTCCTGTAAGAACCGGAGCTTACTTTCCTCGATCAAAGGGTGGTCTCAGCTTCTCTTGGAAGGATTGCTGCTACCCTACTATATGCTCGTCTTTCTACGTTACATGTTATAGTTATCTTTTTTTCTCCTTTCTTTTTTCCATTGGACTTCATGTGTGTGTGATTTTTATTTTTCCTTCTTCTCTCTGTGTTTCATCTACTACAATACTACTCTTATGTAACCATCTCATCTGATTTTGTTTATATAGTTGATCTGATCTCTCACTCTCATTCTTACTAACTACCATCAAGTTTCTCTTCTCTCGATAGTAATACTCTCTCTTTCTTCTCTTCTCTCTCACTAGTCAATCTATCAAATCTTTTGTTCCATGTGTCCTATATTCATAACTATCTTGCTATGTTACTGCTGGATAAGCATACTTGTATCACCTCTATTCCAGTTCTCTAACTGAGATTTATCTTCTCGCTCAAATTTACAAATACATGATGATAATTGATATTTCAAATAATCGGGAATGAGATAATCAATAATAATTCAGTCATTTGACATGATTGCATCGATCTATCTCTCTCTTTCATATCTCCTCGTAAGTAGGATATAATATATATATACATATCTACTATAATATATCACTATATCTGTGGCAGGTTAACTCAATTTTCATAAACGGTATCTCTTTATTAATCATATTATTATTATGCATCATTATTACCATCATCATCATTAATACTATTATTATTATCTTTATTCCCATTTTTATCATCATTATTACTATCATTATTTAAATTTCTTGATAATCTCAATGATAGTGGATAGGGATACAGGCTGCTGTCGCTACAATCGTCCATAGATTGTTATGCCAAGATAGTTATGAATATGACTCAACAAATTCTAATAATAGTGGAGAAATCACAAAAATAAGATGAAATAAGATCAGATAAACTAGAAAAAAGAAAAGAATGCAACACAAGCTATAAAACAGAAAGACAGAAAGAAAAAAAATCTGATAGGGAAAAAAATGCAAAGATATGATATAATATCGGACGCTGGCTACACATGACTGGAAAAGAGAAAAAGTTTTAATTCGGCAAAAACGGAATTGAAAACGGTATATTAACTTTTTTTGCCGCCACCTGTTTAATTTATATGATTTCCCAAAAAAAAAACAGTAACTCCAGGTTTCCATTTTACTTCAAAATAAAAATGCGTATTTTATGACGGACGAACCAATCACACCGTATATAATTTGGCAATTCCACGTCCTTTTATTAGCAATAAAAACACAACTTTGCAACATTGCTTCTTTACACATGGGGTCATGATATGCTCTGTTGCATGCAAGAGTTCCCCTACCTTTGCAAATTTTTCTAAAATTCTATGATTATTTTTTCTTACTTTATCTATAATTATTATTATTATATCTATTATTATTAATTATTATAATCATTTTTACTANCTTATGTAATAATAAAAACAAAATAAAAGTAATACGAAGGGAAGAATATGAAGAGCTTATTTTCCTCTGAAGGTGAAGCAAAAATGACATATTGCTGCGGCCTTGGACACGACAAGAGTAGAAGGAGTGAACAGTGTGTAGAATGTAGAAAGTAGTGAAACTGTAATCTTGTGTTTATATGGGTAAAGCAAAGAATAGCAATTTGTCTCCTTCCGCACTGAATAACTTTTGTTGCAAAATTTCCTTCATTCAAAACTGACGAACAAAAGATTCTCAACTTTGTTTTGCACACATAATGAAGAACAAAATAACAGAGCAAACTGACACGGACTACTTTATTGAAAACTATACATCCCATGGCAACAATTAAGGCAAAAATCCTTTCATGGTAGGAAATAATCTGAATCTGTCATCTTTTTCACGGCATACATCAATTCACGGTAAGAACTAATAATGAATCTGTAAACCTTTTCGGCAAAAACGACTTGCAGCTTTTAAATCAAACTAATAATCTACTTAAATAACATCAACTAATGCCTTCTGCAAAGATATGAAATAAACCCTCTGAATATTTAAAAAAAAAAGAAAGAAAAGAATTTAACTAAACAAAAAAATATATCTGAGCAGTGCACTGTTAACACTTTTACACATAATTTTACATTCAACTTACCCTTTAAAGAATGCAAAACTAAAACCAGTTCCGTTTTTTTCTTAACTTTACTCCCGCTAACCGTCAACTTAGAAAAAAGGTCAATTAACAAAATAATTCAATCCTTTTTCGTTATATTTTCCTACTCAACTCGAAGTTTCATTTTTCATACTGTTTCTCCCACTATCAACTTTCAAACTTCAACTGAACTAAAATTTAAATCAAAGTTCCATTTTCCATAACGTTTCTCTCACTAACAATCAAATTTGAAACTTCAACCAAACCAAAATTGAAATCACAGCTCCCTTTTTAATAACTTTTCTCCCACAACTTTCACACTCCAATCGAACTAAAATTCAAATCAAAGTCCCATTTTCCACAACGTTTCTCCCACTCAACCGTCAACTTTCAAACTTCAAACCAAAATTCGAACCACAGCTCCCTTTTCCCATAACGTTTCTCCCGCTAACCGTCAACTTCCTTACTTTACAAACTATATACAAATTCACTATCGGTGGTTGCATGTGAGTCACTTGTTTCGTCAGGCTGTGGTTGTGGCGCCGCTCTCGTCCTCTTCACGTCGCAGTACTTCTTCAGCAACGGAGGCGCACGCTTGGCGATCTCCTTCTCGGATACAAAGCACTTTCGCTGCCTATGAAGAAGAGTGGAAATTGAATTAAAAGAGCGAGAAAAAAGGGAAATATCACTTTATTTTGAAAGCTTCCGAGAAAGGAGCTTATCAATAAAGTGTCAGTTTTGGAAGGATGGACATGTGTTAGAGTACATGTTTCTTTTTTTTTCTTTCTTTCTTTCCATTGGGCTTCCTGTGTGTGTGTGTGTGATCTTATGTACCATTCAACTGATTTTGTTTTTAGTTTATCTGATCTCACTTCATTTTATAACTACACAATTATTTTTTGAGATTTCCCTACCATCATCAAAATTTGTTCAGTCAGATTCATAACTATCTTGCTATGTTACTCTGGATAGCAACTTGTATCCTTATCCAGTTTTACTGAGATTATTCGCAAATTAAAATAATGATGATAATGATATTAATAATAATGGGAATAATAAAAATAATAATAGTATTAATGATGATGATGATGATAGTAGTGATATATATTATATATATACATATATATAAATATATATGGGCAGCTTAATCAATTTCATAAACGGGTATCTCTATTATTATCAATATTATTATTATCATCATTATTACAATCATCATCATTAATACTATTATTATTATCTTTATTCCCATTTTTATCATCATTATTACTATCATTATTTAAATTTCTTGATAATCTCAGTGATAGTGGATAGGGATACAGGCTGCTGTCGCTACAATCGTCCATAGATTGTTATGCCAAGATAGTTATGAATATGACTCAACAAATTCTAATAATAGTGGAGAAATCACAAAAATAAGATGAAATAAGATCAGATAAACTAGAAAAAAGAAAAAGAAAAGAATGCTACACAAGCTATAAAACAGAAAGACAGAAAGAAAAAAAATCTGATAGGGAAAAAAATGCAAAGATATGATATAATATCGGACGCTGGCTACACATGACTGGAAAAGAGAAAAAGTTTTAATTCGGCAAAAACGGAATTGAAAACGGTATATAAACTTTTTTTTTGCCGCCACCTGTTTAATTTATATGATTTCCCAAAAAACAGTAACTCCAGGTTTCCATTTTACTTCAAAATAAAAATGCGTATTTTATGACGGACGAACCAATCACACCGTATATAATTTGGCAATTCCACGTCCTTTTATAGCAATAAAAAACAACTTGCAACATTGCTTCTTTACACATGGGGTCATGATATGCTCTGTTGCATGCAAGAGTTCCCCTACCTTGCAATTTTTCTAAAAATTCTATGATTATTTTTCTTACTTTTCTTATCATTTTATTATAATCATTATTATTATTATTATCATTATTATCATTATTATTATTATTATTATCATTATTATTATTATCATTATTATTATTATCATTATCATTATCAATACTATTATTATTATCATCATCATCATCATTATCATAATTATAATAATTATTTTTATTAATATTAAACAACACTGCTTTTATATTTTATCTAAAATAAAAACGACTTCGCCAGCTATCTTCGTAAAAAGGTAACGCTAGAACAAAAAGCAATGAAGATTGCAACACGAAGTATAAATAGGTTAGCAACAGCAAATAGCAACGAGCACATGGATGAAAACTAGCCGCAAGGAGGAGGAAGAGGAGAAGAGGGAGGAGGAGGAGATTGAGGAAGGGAGAGGAAGAGGAAATCGAGAAGGGGGGAGAGGAGAGGAAAGGGGGAAGAAGAAGAGAGGAGGAGAAGAAGGAAGAGAGGAGAAGGGGGAAGAGGAGGAGAAGACGGAAGATGGAGGAAAGGAGGAAGGGAAGAAGGGAGGAGGGGAGGGGGAGGAGGAGGGGGTTGAGGGGGAGGAGGAGGAGGGAGGTTGAAGGGGGGGAGGAGGAGGAGGAGGGGGGTTGAAGGGGGGGGGGAGGAGGAGGGTTGAAGGGGAGGGGGAGGGGGATGGGAGGAGGAGGAGGAGGAAGGGAGGAAAGAGGAGGAGGAAGGAGGGGGGCGGAAATAGAATAGGAGAGGAGGGGTAGAGGGAGGAGAGGTAAGAAAAGAGGGAGGAGAGCGAGTCGGAGAGGAAGAGGAGGAGGAGGAGAAGAGGGAGGGGAGAGGGGAGGAGAAAATGAGGAAGAGGAGGAAGAAATGAAAGATGGGGAGTTAGACTAAGAGAAAGAAGAGAATGAGGAAGAGAGGAGGAGGAGACGATGTCGATACGGCGATATTTGCTCTGACGTTCCGGCCTCAGATTTAAAAACGAACAAAGAATGCGTAATAACAGAAACGAAAACATCCCAAATATCGTAAAAAGATGGGCAAAGATAGAAAATGCTTGCATGTTGACGCATCACAACTGCAATTAGTCTTACTTTAGACCACTTTCCCTTTTGATTCCAGAGATTTGCCAATCTGTCTTATACAATTCTCTCCTCGACTATTCACGCAAATTACAGACAGACAAACCAATTACGCAAGATATTTCAATGTTGCAGTAAAAAAAAGAAAAGAAACTCACTTGAAAGCCTCCAAGTCAGAAGAGGAAGCCAATTCTTTCAGGAACAGAACGAACCGCAGATGAAGAAAGGGCAAAACGCCTTTCGAAATCCGTATCTTCGTATTGAGATGACTTTGAAAAATGTTCTCAATCATTTTCTTGCTGGGGACTTTGCATGAGAAAGCCATCTTGTAATTGAATGAGGGAGACAGGGACGAAAAAGAACCAGAGATAGAGAAAAAGAGAGAAAAGGGGAAGAGAAAAAAGACACAGGACACGCGTAGGATTGGACCGTTTACTTGTAAACAAACGATTTTTCACGAGTCTATTTCGATATTTGTACAGGATCACTATTTGGTAACGGTTTCCCTTTTCCCATTTCCCCGGTTTTTGCGTTGTATTCGTATGTTTTTTATGCACTGGTTGACTATGGAGATATAGAGAACAAAATAAAAACAAAGGGGTAATTGCAGCATGTCAGGATATGATACATTATTGATTTATAAATATTTTAAACGCTCTGTGAACGCAGAAGTTACAGCCGTTAATGCAGATACGGACACTTATACTGATATCACTATCATCATCATAATTATTGTTATAACTTGTCATCATCATCATCATTATCATAAACAACCTTAGACGTTATCCTCATTTTTTATATAATTGCTATCATGAAGATAATAATAATGATGGTAGTAATAATAATAATAACAATTATTATGGCATAAAAAATATAATAATAAAAATGATAATAATAAAATGATACTAATAATAATGATGATGATATTAGTAATAATTACATCATTATCGTTATTATAATAATTATTATTATTACTATTATTATCATCACGGTCATCATCATTAATTTTCATGATCATTATCATCATTGTTATTATTGGTATTATTACTATTATAATCATTATTACTAGTACTCTCAACACTATTGTTAGCATTATGATTATCATCATTATCATTGCCATTATAATTATTGTTGTTACTATTATTACTATCACTATGATTATCATTATCATCCTCATTGTTATTATAATAATTCTTCTTATTATCATTATCATTATGACTACACCTTTTCACACAACGGATTAGAGACCACTGCAAATCTCTGACAATCCACATATCTTTTTGGACAATTAGTTTTGTCCTTTATTACGTTATTCTCACTGTCCTTCGCCCATCGTGTTGACGCGGAGTGACCATGGAGTCCGTCTGTAGGTCCTAATGATGACGATTATGATGGGTAGTTTGTAGTGATGTGCTTAGCTTATTAATTATTATTATTAAGCTTATTGATTATTATTATTAATTATTATTATTAGCTTATCAGTTATTAATAATTGATAATTAATTATTAATAACTTAGCTTCTTAATTATTATTATTAAGCTTAGAGGTAGTCTACTTAACTTAATACTTGGGCTCAGATTATATTTAGTTTCGTCTGTATCAAGATAATAATAAAAAGAGGTTAAACAATATATTTGCATTGGACAAAGGCAGAGGCGGGTCTTACCCCGGTAGTTGCCAACTAGGATTTTCATTAAGACGGAGTGGAGCTACTTGTTTCAAACTACCTTAATCAATATGCTCTCGATGCTGATTAATTCCCTCTCTATGCTTATGTTGAGCAAATGCAACATGAGCTGCTTTGACGTCATATCAATATCTGTTACACTTTCCTT